GTAGGGGTGGGGGGTTGAGGGAGATTTGGGTTGAGTTGGGTTTCTGTAGGGTTTGCTGTTATTGTTGTGGTGTTGTTTGTTCGTTTCGTGGGTTTGTTATCAACGCTGTACTTATAACAATATTTGTATTCACACTTGTATCACTGACAAAATTTCACTCTAATTTACTCATACATAATTTAGGAGGGCTGTGGGTCCCATTAGGAGGGCAAATGTTGGGCCGCAGGATGGGAACGGGAGTTACCCGTCCCGCCTAAGACCCGGCAGCCGCCAACCCAGTATGAGGCCCGTGGGACGAAGTGAACCCCACAGGCGGACGTTGGGCCCACAGCCTGCCGCTTCCCTTTGTGTGGGGCAACATCAGCAGGGGTGGCAGAGGTGGCGTCCACCCAGAGCGACTGCCCAAAGCTATCCAGGTAGGAGCTTGGTACATCCGGTCCTTGTGGCAGGATGAGCAGTTACCCCTGCTATCGAGGGAGCTGGAGTGGTTGGGAGTTGAGGTGGCTGCCCTCTTGGAGGTGAGAAGACCTGGCAGAGGCATGCTCAGTATGGGTGGGTACACTTACTACTGGTCAGGCCATAGCAATAGTCACCATCTCCAGGGAGTAGACTTTAACCATCGGTAGTAGAGGAAACACATTATGGCATTGAGACTGAAGCATGCTTTTAGCTTCGTGTCTCTTATTGCTGTGTACACTCCTACCGATGTTTGTAAACTTGAAAGAGCGTTCTATGCCAAACTCACATCTGTGGCAGACAAATGTCCCCGGCGAGACATTTGCATCCTACTGGGCGATTTCAATGTGGTATCCGGCAGTGATCGACCCACGGCTCAGTAGCGAGAACAGCCTCCTCCTCTGGGACTTTGCTGAGTCCCAGAGATTGAGGATTTCTGGCTCCTGGTATCAGTGCTCCAACCACTATTGCTGGATATGGTACAGTGAAAAGGGTACTGTGGCCAAAGAGATCGACCACATTCTTGTCAGCACGCACTGGAGGATCCTCCAGAACTGCAGGGTTTACCAAAGTGCTAAGTTCCGTGGCACTGACCACAGACCGGTTGTGGCTACCCTAAGGATAGGAAAGGAAAGGAGGTCAATGGGACTGTAGCACTACTATGGCATCACACTGCTCATTATAGCAGGCAATGTTTTCGCCTTGAACAGCTAGACCAGACCTGTTGCGAGGAGCTAGAGCTGGGCCGAGGGCCAGCCTGGAGACACGCCATGAGGGACCCCCGAGGATGGAAGTGAAGGGTGGATGCGGCCATGCACCCCCACCCCCTGATGATGATAATGGTAATTCTTCATTACTCCCTCACCATCATTTCACAGCACATGCATGGGATGCTGTTACTCACAATTTAACCCATTGCCGCCGGGGATGGCATGTACGTACATGCCGTGCCCACTGTGAGTCGACTTGTTCGATTGTTTTTACTCATAGATGGCTACACTTGTACTAAGTATCCAATGAGCCAATTACAGTACTGCCTGTCTCGCCTGTTCACCCTTTTCATCGATTTACGAAAATATTTAACGTTATCCTAATTTGCCGTTAAAAATAACACCATCTATATTTATAGGACTAGTAAAAATTCGTTTTTTTCCCGCCAATTCAAGGAAAGGTGAAATCAGGACTAGCAGATCCATCTATGGACAGAGATATTTCACAAACATATAAAAAATGAGTACTATATTTCCCTCATTTTCTGTTCATTTTCCCCGGCGGCAATGGGTTAATCATAACTTTAAATGAATTTCTTCCCTTCACAGATTAAGTACCATTACTTTACGTCACCATACATCAACTACTCACATCCTCACGTACCACTCATAGTCATCTACCACTCACTCTCACCTCTCTTTCACACACACCCAATCCCTTCCCTCACCATCTTCCAACCACACTAACCCTACCTGTATATTTCGCCCAAAGCCCAACCCCCTCCTTCGCCACCTAACCCTCACCAACCCTTTCCCCCAAACTCAACTTTTCCCCCACCCCCATCACCCTCAACCCTCCAACCCTATCTGCATATTTCGCGTGAACCAATAACCCAACCCCTTCCCTCACCACCCTCAACCCTCTCCCCAACCCTCTCCCCAAACTCAACCCTTCCCCCCCAACCACCACCCTTAAACCCCCCCCCTTCCTCCCTTTCCCCCTTCCCCCCTTCCACACACACACCAACCGTACCTGCGTGTTTCGCGTGAACCAATAACCCAACCCCTCCCTCACCACCCTCAACCCTCTCCCCAAACTCAACCCTTCCCCCCCAACCACCACCCTTAAACCCTCCCCTCCCCCCTTCCCCCCTTCCCCCCCTTCCACACACACCAACCGTACCTGCGTGTTTCGCGTGAACCCATAGCCTAACCCCTTCCCTCACCACCCAACCCTCCCCAACCCTCCCCACCCTCCTTAAACCCTTCCCCTCCTCCCCCCCTTCCCCCCCCCCCTCCTCCCTTCCCCCCTTCCACACACACACCAACCGTACCTGCGTGTTTCGCGTGAACCCATATCCCAGGAAGCGCTCGTCGTGAGGGGGCGTGTCATCCCTGGCCACGTAGAAGGGTTCGTAGAAGAACTCGAAGTTGGTCACCTGGTGGCTGATGGTGACGCTGCCCTCCTTCGGGTGCAGCTGCTCGCGGGCCTCCCACCTGAGGAGGGAAAAAGAGAGAGGGAGTTGATAAAAGCATGAAAAGGGAGAAGAGACAATGTTAAAAGCATGAAAAGGAGAAAAGAGAGAGGGTGTTGATAAAAGTATGAGAAGCGAGGAGGGGTAAGGTTAAGGGTTTGAGGAGGGAAAAAGAGAGAGGGAGTTGATAAAAGTATGAAAAGGGGGAAGAGACAATGTTAAATATCTGAGGAGGGGAAAAAGAGAGAGGGATTTGATAAAAGTATGAAAAGGGGGAAGAGACAATGTTAAATATCTGAGGAGGGGAAAAAGAGAGAGGGAGTTGATAAAAGTATGAAAAGGGACAAGAGACAAGGTTAAAAGTATGAAAAGGAGAAAAGAGAGAGGGCATTGATAAAAGTCTGGGGAGCGAGAAAGGGCGAGGATAAAGATCTGCGACGGAGAAAAAGAGAGAGGGAATTGATAAAAGTATGAAAAGGGAGAAGAGACAATGATAAAGATCCGATAAGAAGAAAAAGAAGAGAGGGAACTGATGAAAGTTTGAAAGGGGAAAAGGGGCAAGGCTAAAGATCTGCGAAGGAGAATAAGAGAGAGGGAATTGATAAAAGTATGAAAAGGGAGAAGAGACAATGATAAAGATCTGAGAAGGAGAAAAGAGAGAGGGAATTGATAAAAGTCTGAAAGGGGAAAAGGGGCAAGGTTAAAGATCTGCGAAGGAGAAAAAGAGAGAGAGAATTGGTAGAAGTAGGAGAGAGGAGAAGAGACAATGATAAAGATCTGAGAAGGAGAAAAGAGAGAGGGAGTTGATAAAAGTATGAAAAGGGAGAAGAGACAATGATAAAGATCTGAGAAGGAAAAAAGAGAGAGGGAATTGATAAAAGTATGAAAAGGGAGAAGAGACAATGATAAAGATCTGAGAAGGAGAAAAGAGAGAGGGAGTTGATAAAAGTATGAAAAGGGAGAAGAGACAATGATAAAGATCTGAGAAGGAGAAAAGAGAGAGGGAACTGATGAAAGTTTGAAAGGGGAAAAGAGGCAAGGCTAAAGATCTGCGAAGGAGAGAGAAAAAGAGAGAGGGAATTGATAAAAGTCTGAAAGGGGAAAAGGGGCAAGGCTAAAGATCTGCGAAGGAGAAAAGAGAGAGGGAATTGATAAAAGTCTGAAAGGGGAAAAGGGGCAAGGCTAAAGATCTGCGAAGGAGAAAAGAGAGAGGGAGTTGATAAAAGTATGAGAAGCGAGGAGGGGTAAGGTTAAGGGTTTGAGGAGGGAAAAAGAGAGAGGGAGTTGATAAAAGTATGAGAAGCGAGGAGGGAAAAAGAGAGAGGGAGTTGATAAAAGTATGAGAAGCGAGGAGGGGTAAGGTTAAGGGTTTGAGGAGGGAAAAAGAGAGAGGGAGTTGATAAAAGTATGAGAAGCGAGGAGGGGTAAGGTTAAGGGTTTGAGGAGGGAAAAAGAGAGAGGGAGTTGATAAAAGTATGAGAAGCGAGGAGGGGAAAAGAGAGAGGGAGTTGATAAAAGTATGAGAAGCGAGGAGGGGAAAAGAGAGAGGGAGTGATAAAAGTATGAGAAGCGAGGAGGGGTAAGGTTAAGGGTTTGAGGAGGGAAAAAGAGAGAGGGAGTTGATAAAAGTATGAGAAGCGAGGAGGGGTAAGGTTAAGGGTTTGAGGAGGGAAAAAGAGAGAGGGAGTTGAGAAGGAAAAGAAAGGGTAATAGATGCAATAAAGGGAGAACTAGAGGGAAGGAGGAATGTGGAAAAAAATCACGAATAGTCACACAAATAAAAGTAACAAAAGAGGAAATAAAAGAAAAAAAGGTAATGCAGATGATAAAAGAAAGAAAAGCAATAATAAAAGGAAACCGTAAAGCACACAAGCACACAACGAGAAACACTTTCACCCGTAACCACAAGGTTCCCAGAAAAGACACGCTCAAAAATTCGGGGGAATCGATCACCTCTTGGAACAACCATTGTCACCGAAATGCACTTCTCGTGTGTCGGGGTAGGGGAATGGGAGGGGGAGGGAAAGCGAAGGAGGAGGAGGAGGGGGGGGGGAGGGAGAGAGGTATAAGACGCGAGGGGGGGGGGGGTACAAGTCACAAGGCTGGATAAGGAAGGGAAAGCGAAGGGGGAGGGGAGGGGGGTGGGGAGGAGAAGAGGGGTACGACGCGGGGAGAGGGAGGGGAAGGGTAGCAAGACATAAGGGGGTGAGGGGATGGGGGGAGAGAGAGAGAGAGAGAGAGAGAGAGAGAGAGAGAGAGAGAAAGAGAGGGAGAAAGAGAAAGAGAGAGAGAAAGAGAAAGAGAGGGAGAAAGACATGGGATGAAAGTGGCAAAGGAGGAAGAACTAACAAAATATATG